TCCATAAGAATTACGACTGTTAACTTTGATGCATAAAAAAGAAAGAGTAGACTTTCTATCTGATGTTCAGAATGATTGATGTCTTCTCATGAAGACTGTCACACTTGCGTAAACAAATTTACTCTTGATCACCTTCGAAGGAGAACACTCCTTATTTAACACTCACTCAGTTATTCTCTCTCTCTCCCACCTTATCTATTTTCTGATAGTTCTATATTACTGTATTTCTGTTTGTTCCATTTTCTGTGCTGTTGTGGAATCTACAAACTTAAACAGATTGCCTTCTATACAAACTTGTTTATTTGATTTAGTTGCTCGATTATGTTGTCACGTATGTCTATAACTTGTTTGCAGCTAATTCAAGTTCATCTTTGAAGAGAATAAGCTTTACGAACAGATGTGATGAGAATGTTTAATGAGTTGAAAACCAAAAGTCAGACATTTCTATTCATTAAATAATGTGATTACATTTCCTTTTATGTTCTGCCATAGGCTACAAATGACTTGACCCTAACTGATTCTAACATCCTAATTTTTTTGTTTCCTTCAGGTTAAATAAAAGTCTAATTCGCTTTATTCACAGGGTGCTTATTTGTGATGACCTCTAACAACAGCAAGCGGTGATAGCGATGACGTAATATTAACTTCTCTCCACTAACTTATTTATGTTCTCCCGTAGGGTTTTGTCATTGTCAGATCATTAAATAAGATAATGAAGACCAGATGAAGTTATCGCTCTTCAACTTTTTCTACCTCTCTGCCCTAAGAAAACCTTGTCTAGACACCACATTATGTATGCAAATCTACTTAGGTTTGACAAAGTTATATTCGTTAAAAAGCTATTACTCATGCACTGATGAATTCACAGTCAAGACATAACATGCAAATTTATTTGTTGATCAGACTATAAAAAAGCCAACTAAAGCTTCAAACCTTCGCTTTTGGCTTTTGAATATCTGTCGATATTACTTTATACATTTTTCTCTCTCTGAATGAAACATCAACAACTAATTAGCAAGTCACTGAGATCATATTGTATGATTCAAAGATTGTTTAGCGTAGTAAGTTATGCAAAATCTAATGGTTTAGTCATGATCTCTTGATGATCAACTTCATTGTTTTCAAAGTGATCATTAAAAGCTCTGAGTGGTAAGTTTATAGACGGACAACCGTAATAGTTAAATAAAAATGCTAGCAGCCACATTGTCTGTCAAAAAAACACCAATCTTGAAAAGATTCACTTCGAACATCGTTCTGTCTCCCACTGGACCTTCTATTAAATGTTAAATAAATGACTTGGCAAATGACCCACGACAACCACGTCTTGCGCATCGGTTGGTATTTATTACTGTTTAAAATGATGAGTGTTGTGCTCGAATCTCCGATGGAAACATCACTATTCATCACTGAGATGTGCAGTTACACCCAGTTTATTCATTTCAAATAGGTTGAAACGCTTATCCTGTTCTATCATATAACATCATGTTTAAAATCAAAAGCGTTATCGAAGCGTCGTTTATTTAGGAGTCAGTATACGAAAAGAGATTGACTACATGGGTCCTGTACAAAGCAAATTTCATTGTATGGATAATTTCGTATGAAGTTTGCCCTTCAGTATTTGTATAATACTGAATGAAGACTAATGAAGTGCTAATCTTTTGCTCTATATTACCTAGTCATATTCAAGTAGTGAAAAATATATTAATTTTGATTAATATTTTTTAGTGAATAAATCTTGTTTGAATACGATCCTATCTATTATTTTTTTCATTTCGAAGTAAATACGCGGAAGCGGAGTGTAGCAGAATTAGGCTTGTTTTATCCAAGTGTATTTAGTTGTTTGCTTGTCATTTCTATTCATCTGTTATCAGAAGTTGTGTTTGTGCGTTTGTTTTTTTGTCATTGTCACTATTATTCAGATTTTGAAGTTTGTCTTGTCCTCCATAAGCATATATATATATATATATTAATATATATTCATTGAATGTCCTAGAATCAGTAAGGAAGTGAAATAAGAAGTAGTAACTTAAAAAATTATCGCCAAATCTTACGTAAGTATTGTAGAAGTTAGTGAATTCAAACTAATTAAAATGAGATAAGTTGTATGCACTTTTGAGATCAGTAGTCTTATGAATGAAAATAAAAGGCTTCAGTTGGGTAACATTATTTGATTCAATTAATTAGCGTATGAGAACGTCTTTTGGTTTACTCCGACTTTAAAATTGTCCTATGCTGTGTTCTGTTGACAGTTAACTATGAAATGAAATGGTATCATATTATTCTACTCAATTTATTTAAGTTTGCACATCGTGTGTTTGAAGTCGTGAGCACTGTACGCTTAGCTTACTGAAAGCTCTCAAGATTCAGCGAAACAACTTTCCTGACATGCCTAATTTAAATTGTTGATATTAGATGGTTGGAGGCAATCGGCAGGAAGCCTTGGACCTAGGTTTCGTGCTAGCTGGCAGTCACCAGTCAGCAAGACGTATCTGCAATCTTGAAGGTACTCATGCCCTTCTGAGATTCGAACCCGCGTCGCCCAGTACCGCAGTCAGATGCGTTACCACTGAGGTGTTCGGGCTCACAATTGACCTCCTGTAGGACTGTATTGGATACACTAGTTACTAGTGTCCAATCAAAGTATGCTTAATGTAAAGTTGACGCTTACATACAAATTAAGTAGTCTGTTCGTTTGTGCAGTCTCTTATCTTTATATTCTTTATTCAACCACAGATAATTATTGTAGAGTAGTTTATGATTTCAATGTGTCATGCTGTAGAATCATATTCAATGAGAAAACATGTCAAAGTAATTTGTTATGTTTGCTTTTCAGGTTGTAATATCTAACACAGTAACTAAAATTAAGATGTGATGACAGTGTTGGTCATAGTAATCTGATAGATATTTTTAACACAATAGAAACATGTTCCAACTTAATTTCGTTTGAGAAAAGTTCTTTTTAAAAAAAAATAGTTTCTGCAGTCTGATGTTTGTATGCTTGAAGTCAATTCGCAAATTTGACATGCTTATTTATACAATGAATAAAAGACGAGTGATTGTTGTAAAGAGAAACAACGAACATTCAGGTTGTTTTTTTATCATCCAAGCGATACTGACTGTCTGTTTGTGTTTAGTTACTTTCCTAGACATCTCCGTGTACACACACACACGGATGTGCCGATTTGAGCGTGTGGCTTGCTTAAGGATGTCCATACATGACAGTACTGTCATGACACTCTTTTACTTACGTGGTGATGGTGATCACAGGTGAATAATATGCATCAATAAGCGTAAATGTAAATGTTTCTCATAATTTTATTATTAGTGTTGGTGAAATTGAGTAGGATAAGCGTCGCTAAGTTGATAATGTAGCAGTAAACATTTTAAATGCATACTGCTATATTATGAGTAGGTAAGTAGTGAACGTTAATTGCTTCCTGCTTCATTACCGATTAAGCGAGTCTATTAAGTCTTTGTAATTTATAGGGATGGGTTTCTTAAGCTACACAGCTAATAAATTCAAGAATCTGGGTTTATTTTTTTATTCCTGTACGTTCCCAGTGGAACATAGGGCTTCAACCTGGAGGCTTGAAGTTTCGGTAGCAGTGGTGTTTGTTTTTACGGGATGGGGTTACTAGCCTCATGCCCAACCTTCACTTTATAACCAGTCTTATTACTGGCTTAGCTAGGTAAAGGAGTGCGTCGACCGGTGATTGAACCCCGAACTACATTCGTTGTCGGCGACCATTCTACCTCTGTGCCACCGACGCACAAGAATTTGGGAGGGTGGGGTTAACTATTATTTTTTTACTATTTTAGCGAAAAAGGTTTACTGACAGTTGCTAACCTGTACATAGTTTCTCGCTAGTTAATCCACAACTCATGACATCATATTAAAGTGTTGTGTTTCTTGGCTTTATGGACGGCATTATATAGACTGTATTTACAATCCTTAATTAGCACACACAGAATTTCGATTACTTTGGAACTGTTTGCCGTGTATAATAAAAACAAACATTGATTCAACAGTAAAGCATTTCTTCGCGATGATTTCATTTACAAACGCTGTATAGCTGTGTTTATATTATGTAAAAAGACAGTTAATGATACTAAAAATTACTTAAATCAATACAAATATAATAAAGAAATAAATAGTATAATTGTTAGTACGCATAGGATTGAAGTGGATAAAATAAATACAGAAAAGGTTATTAAAGAAAGAAAGAAGATGATATTAAGAGGTATAAGTGGGTCATCAAGTGGTGTCAAAATATTAAAATTATTGTGTCGGTAATCATAATGATAGAGAAGACAAAGTGAAGTGGAATGAAATTAACACTAAAAGAACATTGTTAGAACGAACATACAGTTCAGGTTGTTGTTCATGTATGAATAGTACTCTGTCACTACACAGGTGATGAAGCGTAAACTTTTGAGTAATTGGATTTGAGTCCTACACATAAAAGGTTATAAGATAAGTCACAGGGAGCTAAACAACCTGATTCCAAAAGATGTTCGCAAATATATTTCGTCATCCTATTTAAACCTTTCGTCAAATAAGCTGAGTAATATTAGGCTACGTGTATCTAGGAGACTCGCTTACCAGATCCATTGTAAGCAGCTCTAAAGAAGCATGTGAAACAGTAGATAAGCATAGTAATGGACATAAACGGTAGTTTATGCCTCACACATCTTTAAGTCATACTTCTGGCTTTCAGTATACAAGTCATAAGCTAGGTATATTGAAAGTGGTTTTGATGCACTTGAGTAGACTATCCGATACCTTGACAGCGACATCATATTTTAATGTGTAATTCATAATAAATGTTTTCTTCAGTATTGTGGTTTCACGAGGAATGATTTGTTTCTTAATACGGAAACATTGATATTGAGACTATTCAGGTTACTTAGTTGTAAATCAAATCTCAGGCCTTTACATATATGTCTCTTTTTATTGGAGTAATTTATTTTGACGCATTCTCTAATTTTTGCAATTTTAGCATATGTATCGAATGGGGCTGTCATACAACCAGAACAATCTGATGATCCTGTTCAAAAGATACCTGATTTTGATTCATCTGGCATTGATTCTGTTGGTGATAGTCTATCTGCGATAGCCAAATCTTCTGATCAACAATCAACTTCCCCACCTATGGTTAATCAACCCTCAGTGCAAAATGGTATGACATTTGAAATATTTTTGTTAAAATTTCATGGTGTAAGGTTTTAGGTGACTTTGTTGCATAGTTTTGAACAAAAGCAGCATTTAAAAAAATAAGAATATTACCATCTATGATAACCAAATTATTTCTTATCTTTCAGATCCTGGCACTGCGAAACAACCAACACACTCACAAGCATCTATTTCATCAGCTGATGTACCAATTAGTGCAACGTTTAAACACAAGAATTCAAATGTACCATATATCATTGCAATTATATCTTGTTGCTTAGGCTCATTTGCATTTGCATGCTTTTTCGCTTTTATGGTATTCCGGTTAAAACGTTGTCGACAAAGACGTTTAAAAAAGCTACAAAAAGGTCAATTACCACAGACTTTAGATAAACAACCTATGCACCAACATCTACTTCTTACAACAGGACAAAATCAAAACTCTTTATCATCCACTTTATCTGTTCCTTCTTCTTCATCCTCCGGTCCATGTATCATTTCTTCGTTAAACCCGTCATACCAATATAACCAGTTGAAATCTACTGGTAACAATTATACTACTGATAATGGGAGTAGTAATAATAACAAGATTAACTCTAATGCTGTAAATCTACAAACCCCGACATTTATGGACACGCACAGTAATCATCTGGCTGCTTTATCTCAAGGATACACTGATATGATGACTCATCCGACTGGGACAGTGTGTACTCCTTACTCGAATGGAATTGACCAAGGTAAGCATTCTGTAGTGGTGATTTTAACAACAACAAAAAAAGCACAGTTGTGTTATTGCTTTTTTTTCTATTGTGATTGTATTTGCAGCCTAAATAGTTGATATCTCTATTATCCTCCCTTCCTATTTTTTATAATTCTGTTTTGGAAAGCTTGATTGTCATTGTCACTTTTTTACATACCCTAGTACTGACAGACATATTGATATCTAACATGAATAGTTAACCATGTATTGGTGACTCATGCTTTCACGTGTTATGGTTTGTAGCGTGTTTCCTAATGACTCATAATGACATAGGAATTAGTTTGTCTTGTTTCCCCATTTCACGGTGTCTGAGCTTTATAATCACTAACATTTAAAGTAAATACGCGCATGTCTGATGGTATAGAAGATGCGTCCTTCGTTATAGTTATTATTGTGATCTTTTTTTCATGAGATTCAATGAGATATTAGCATTGCTGTCGCCTTTACTACTGTTGAAACAAAGTTAACTGCTAAACTCTGTGTTAACAAACATGCTGTAGTTTAAACTGATTAGATTGTACTTACTAAATGATTGTAATTATCCTCTGTAGTATTATTTGACTTTAAAAATCCCTGTATGGATTTATTGCGCTGCTCAGGAATACTGTCAGAAACTATGTTTTCTGAGACTTATCTGCTAACTAGATTCAATTCGAATTTCATTTACCAGGTTTGGATGTTTATCTAGACATTTACCTACTTATCAGAATTGCTTTTGTTGGCCTGATAACCACTACTCATTAGATTTAGTAATAAGTGAAGTATAAATTCCGTTAGATTGTATTTCGTCCCTTTTTTAAATAGTGATATGTTAGGAGCAGGTGTTACTAACGGATTAGTACATGTTTCACAATCACTTACCATTGATATTGGTAAATAACATGCAGGTAAAGACTACTGTTACTATCTTCGATGTTTCTTCTCATAACTTCTTGTCATACAATAAATTTACTGGAGTACTTTTGACAATTCTAGTGAATTATTCGTTATATAATCCAAAAAGTCATTGAATGTTATTCACTATTAGATAGATGTTTTAGTTGTCTCTCAGACGTCATTTGAAAGGTGGATTCAATTCACTTGCAAATTAGTTAGTCACAAATCAAGTGCTTTAAACTGATTCGGCTCTCTAAGCCTAGTCAAAATTGGGTAAACCACTGAAAACCTTGGCCCTAAATGAGGGGAATGACTGTCTGGTGTTCAGGTCACATCGATCTGCTTTCCAAGCACTACTGGGTTGGTATCGTGGTATACGAGTATTCATCTCAGTCAGTAATATATAGCTTTATACGAAAGGTAGATCCATCTGACTGTAACACTAGTATTTTATGCTTAGCTTTGACACGACGTACTGTGTACCCCCAATATGTAATAATGATATTGACAGTGATCGTCAAATGTATACAGGTCTAGCAAACTCATCGCATATTAGTGAATGTGTTTCCCAGTAATTTGATTTTACTACTTTGATTGCTATGCCACATACCAATCATGAAACCTTTGGGAAATAGATTCATTATTGTAAGAGATGAATTCGGACATTTGGTCAAAATATAAATTCCCTTAACTTCATTGGATTTCACAGCCAACCTTATTAACCAATGTTTTTACTGACCCTTATTGAAACATTTTTCTTCAATATACTTGGTTGATTAAACATCTCCATGAAATCCTTGAAGTTAAACTGAGTCAGGTAGGGAGATGCAGACTTCCGGGTTGGGGCCCTCGGGACTCTAAGAATCAATGGCTGGAGACAATAGGTGACATGGCTCAAAATCGTTGTCAATGGCGCAGATGTATTCAGTCTCTGTAATCTTTCATATTCCTTTCTACCATTACTCATTCTGTTTCACTATTAATTTCTATTATTCTCTTCTCATTTTCTTGTCTACCTTTGTGTGCTATTGTCATTACAGGCTAGAATTCATTCTAATCAAAATAATTTGACAGTCTAAATTGAATTTGACACTGGATTTTCTACTGTTTCATATCTTATGTTCGATTTACCTTCTTACACATCATTCTGGGTAAACATGTTTGTAAACATGACTAGTGTTTGTTTTTACAATTTCTGATTCTATACTTTTGAAATATAAGCTTCGAATTTCATTTCCTACTCACTGCGGTCTCCTTGGTAATATAATCTTACATCCTTCTGTGTTACTCATAGCAGGAACTCGCAAAGTTGAAGTTTTATCCATGCATACTTGATGAGTTGTAAAAAGGATTAAATCAGACAGTAGTTAGTTACATTTTCACATCCACCTAGCTTACTTAACAACTTTTATTAAAGTTGTTTGAATGCTGACAGGTTAATGATATTAAAAGACATACATCACGTCATCGATATAATTCGTGACATTTAATTTAGATAATATTCTCATTGTACGTGATATCTTAACGCTTAAAAGACTACTGAGTAATTAATTATAGATGACGTAATCGTGACATTTTGCTCTAACAATGCCATTATTAAGTCAAATAGCTTGATAATTCATTCTACTTTGAAATTAGATTAGAATAAATCTATCGAATTATGCAACAGGAAATCAGCACGCATTGCTTATCGTGTGCATTTATACAATATGTATGTAGTTTTATTTATAATGTTTTAAATATGATCTCGAGTTAAATTTCATCATTAACCGACCAACTCATTGTTGGTTGTCAGCGTTTAAAACAACCAATAAGTATATCCGTATTCAATAGCACTTTTGGTTTCCTTCAGCAAAGCTGTTATTTAAACAATCCGGTCTCTTTCTCTTTATCGATACTTCCCACTAGATTCTCTTCGTTAGACATAACACAGAGGTATTTATAGGGATGAAGAATTTGTATTTAAATTGCTGTGTTTTTTAAGCAATGAATAATTGTGTTGTCCATCTTATGTGCCATTTAATTGATTTCCGCCTTTTAAAGATTATAACTACAATAGCACTTCGTAAGACAAGCCAGCAGAATTATTATAGGTTTTCATGTGCTAAAGTTATTTTTTTTTCTAAATGACTCAGCAATTCTGATGATTTATTAACCCTTTGGCTCCGTGACCAGTCACATGATAATGTTTCTGTTTTGTCAGCTTTATTAGTTCGCTTCAAAGCTGGTTTGATATCAACAAATAAATAAAGGCTTGATAACATGTTGTATAAGCCTCCTTGTCTTTCTGTTGTGATGGCGCGTTAGCAGCGAGGGGGGGGGGAGTAGGTGGTTGGTGAGCCTTATAAATTGAAGGGTAAATAATACATTGTCTGCTATTTATAAATATATCTTCGTAGTATGTACGCCTTTCTTATGTTATCAATTCTAAAGATAACTTTTTAGTTAGAGACTTGAGTACAACTACCCTATATGCACGTATCTTTATACATACATTAATTCTCTGCATTCTGTTTGAACAGACATTAGGGTAGACATTTTTTTTTCGGTTGTGGTTACTAACACATTTTGAGTATCACATCTGTATATTCCAATAAATTAAATAATGATAACTGTGAGACAATGTTTCAGAGTATACACAGGGTGATAGTGATACATACATCGTTTTATCTGGTTTATTTACTCAATGCTCACAGGCATATTTCCTCACATTTGTCCTTAATAAATATTTGTTTTCATATTTATCCTCGAATTACTTTGATTACTGACAGCTAAACGTGTTTGGGATGTACGGACTCGAACCTGAATATATATATATATATATATATATATATATATATATTGTAACCATCAATATATATAACATGAAACCAGGTAAACACTGTATTCGTAAAGAAATGCTGAAAAACGATAAGAATATTACACAGTACATTTCTGTGCACTTCTCCTCCATTATGAAGGATGCTTAACTCTCTTTACTATATTTCGCCCAAATTGGCGGAGTTGATGGAGTTGGCCGTTTGAAAGTCATTGGTGTGTTTGTCCCCCTTCTTGGATCGCTATTTTTTAACTTTATCATTACACTGGATTATTTAGCTTGAATCACTACCATGAACATTAAGAATTAAATGGGATCGATTTTTATACTAATTTTAGTTTCCAAAATGGTCAGTTGCGATCCTAATAGTTCACCGATAACGCTTATAATTTTAACATTGAGTGATGGAGGATAGATTAGCTAAGACAGCAATCACAAAAATACCTCTTTCTATTAGCTGTCTCCAAGTGGCAATATACGTTCAGTCACCTAACCGAATTTTTACATAATGAATAATTTTTCTTTAATTATTAATTTTCTGTCGAAATTTCTAGATGGTTTGTTAGCTCTACAGCTACTACAACATGGCTCTTCAGTTGGCTCAAATTTCCCCTCAGTGAATGGTTTAACGCTAGCTCGTCGTGGACTATCTGATACGAGTACAGGCGCCTTCACGGTACATCCAATGGTTACACTTGGGACAGAAAACAAATTTATCGGTGTGAATCTACCACCATCAGCAGCAAATTGTACATTTGCACCTAATCTGAATATCAGTTTATCCAATCCACAAAATAATAACAATGGATTTGGTTCTCATCAGCTACCACCGCCACCACCACCCGACCAACCATTGCCTCCTTTGCCTAACATACCATCAGATCATCATCAACAGCATATAATTTCAAATGTTGGAAATCAATTGCCTGATTCTAATAATCAAAATAATCGCCTTTTAATCAATACATCTTTATCGCCTGTTTTTCCATACGCTGCTACATCGTCATTTGTTTCTCAAGCCTATCCAACAGAAAACGGTTTTATATTATCCATAGGTAAGTGTATATTAATGGTTGTGTTATCTCCTAATGATAGATAATTTTATATATCTTTCTTTTATTGGCATTGTTTTTGAAATATTTCTCTGTGCAGTGTATTCGAGCTTCAGTCCATCCAGGCAACGGGTTCCTATTGAGGATAAAAAACGTCCTATCAGCTTCCCATTATGTAGTCAAAATGCTATAGTCCTTTTAAATGAGAACTGTAAAAAAATATAGGCTCTTCCGAACACGTAGGTTGGTTAGGCATGTGATTCGCCCGTAGTACACCGTAGTACAAAGTGGTCAGTTTTACTCCTAAAATTGGTTATAGAAGATTTCAAGTCCTAGTATTGTACTACAGTTACTTACCTTAATATGGTACTCAACAATTGGACTGGAAAGCATTTAAGTTGGTACGTTGTAAGTTCTAATGAGCTTAGTTATGTGCATTCATTATGATGTTAGGCAAGATATGTTTTTGATTATCTTGTCCATATCATACAGTGGGGAAGTGCTGTCATTTAGTGATAATTATTTTGACAGCTATTCAAACGAAGTGAGTTGATTGTGTGGCGTGTGCTACTGACAGGATTTATAAGTAGCATATAGACACAGAGATAAATATCGTACATCGTATATGCATGCATATCGAAGAGAAGAGAAGAAATGAACTATATGATGGAAAAGATTTGTAGCTCAGGTTCAGCTCATGTTCAAGGTCACCAGGAGAGATGACTGATAAACTCGTGGAGAAATCTAAAAGCTCACTTCAAACTGAAGTATGCACTGAATATATTGCCTAGTAGGGCAATGAAAGCTTTGCAAATAAAGTATCCAGCTCAGAGAACACAACTACATCGAAATGAACTATGCTTGTGAAACAACATGGAAGACATGAAAGGAAGACAAAGAAGCACAATACGGAGGACAAAAGTAGTACAATGCAGAATTTAAGTCCAAATTGTAATTTTAATATCGGGTAGATGTATTCTTCCTATATCTGTATATCGAGTTACCAATAAGTAATTCCATTGCCGAATTCTTTTATGTTCTGCCGTTACAATAGTAAATCATATGATCACTTGATTATTGAGAAAGGTTTAAGGTACATTTCGTTGATGGGTGCGATTAATCACCAGATTTAGGCTGAGTTGGGTTTCCGGCCGATTGACGTCTTACCACACGAGAACTTCTTATTTGTACACTTCGACATAACCTAAGTCTACGAAGAAGGTTGATATTTTTTGGATGGTAGCTGTTAATTTTTTCCCCACAAGTTTTATTACATAACAAAGGTGCTTTTATGAAACCAGTACATTTTAATAAAGTCGTTCATAATTGTAGGTATTACTGTATAATCCTTTGGTTATCGGTTTTATACGTCGTCTTAAGACAGACTTATTACGCATACCGCATAGGTGTATAGATATAAACGAAGATTTTAGGAAGTATCTTGCGATCATTAGAGGATGTTTACTAGTTCACTAGTTTACTAGCCAGTTTAGAGCTCAAAAAAAGGGCAGATTGAGTGTGGGGCTAGCGATCCTACCTCGGAAAAGAAATCCAATGACTACAGAAACTTCAAAGCACAGAGGATGTTTATTAACTAACTTATTGAAAATCTAGAATCATGAGTAAGTAGACCCAATTTTCTTAAGCATTATCGAAGCGATTTCAAGTCATTATTTGAGTTGTCCATTCTTTCCTGCTGACAAATAAATAAGGAAACTTACCGAACAGGCTTATATCTATTTTACAAGGAACTAAGTTAGTGAAGTATAAGTACTTGCAGACTGGTTTTATCAGTCTGACAAGTATCAACTTTTAATTTTGTATTTTAATGTTATTTCCTTCTTTTTTGTCAAAAAACACTTATCTAGATAGTCCAATGCCAGAATATGCAAGTGCCTCACTTTTCAGTGGTACAGGAAGTGGTACAATAAGTTTAGGACCAAATGATCTTAGAAATTCAATTATCTCTAAAACAACAATGGATAGTGATACAAGTAAATATAAACAACTTATGGAGACATATTGTGTTCCACAGCATATGAATTCATGTTTTTGGACATCAAACAGTCATCCTCATAACCATCAACAACAATTAAATCTTAACGGTATGCCTAATCTATCAACTTCTGCATCATCTGATAACAATAATAATAATAATAGTAATACACAAGGAAGTTCAAATAATGAACAACTTTCAGAAAGTATGGATTCTGGTGGAATGTACTACTTAACACATAAAAAGCCTACAGATAATAATCATAATAATAATAATAAGATTTCTTCAAATTCTATTCATCAAAATCCTGCTGTATTTTTCCCCTTCTCTGCTGCACCAACAGCAGCAGCAACACACTTAATACCAATTCAAACATTAGGCGTACGATCTGGTATATTAGTATCGAATAGAGATGATCAAGCAACTATAAATCAATCTTATCAACATGATCCAAATCAATCTATAGGCATGTCTATGACTAATCATCACAATCATCACCATCACCATCAAGACAGTAATACAAGTACACCGAACAGATAGAGACACAATCATTTAGAGAATCAAACAAATATCCTTTATACATTTATATGTCATTATTACAATTAAGTTGAATCCACTGTGCTATCAGTCATTCTACACTTCTAATAATAATAATAATAAATTTTGTACCTACATATAAATTATCATGTTGATGAATATAATTCGAATTTCAATCTTTGTTCATTGTTTTGCGTTTACTTTTGTGAATAAATTCCTGTTGTCAGTGCTAGTATACTTTCCCTGTGATTATTACATCAATATAATTCACAATGGTTACACATGATAAATATCATTCAACCTCATCTTATTTGTGAATTATAAAGAACTTTTCAATCCCAATTCTCCATGAAAGAACTGTCTATATATGCATACATATTTGTCTGTAGACAGATGATAAGTCGGACTGCTGAAATTCCCCTTTTACATATTTCCTTTTCTACTCATCATCATTAGTTATTTGTTTAAATTGTGTTAGGAGAAAGTAAAGTTACTTACTTACAGACTGTCAACATTGTTGTTAGCTTGTTGATAATATATATAACATTACTAAAACATACAACATTTATCTAAACAGAGCTTGTTAATATAATCTTGTTTTTACAGATGCTTACATATAAATACACATATATCAGGAAATTAGCTATGAAATTCAACATGTACAGCTCTTCTTCTTCTTCTTTCATTCTTTAGTTTACTTTTTTTTCATGTTTTTTACACACTTCCTTCCCTTGGCGTTGTTAGCTTCTTCATTCTTGAAGTTGTATTCATAATCATCTCTTCAAACTATTATTGCTGTAGAAGCATAGATCAATATTTGTTAAAGGGATGATAGTTAAGAAGGGAATGAGTAAAACTTACAATTAACAACGAAATGAATGCATTGGAGATTGTTTTAGTTGCTGAATATTACATCTCTTTGACCAATGTTTTTCTGTATTTCAGTTTCCTCTTATCAAAAAGGAAATAGTTTTAATTTACTTCAGTATTATATTGTAATTGTGAGTGTGTGTGTGTGCGTGCGTGTCGACTCAACCTATCTCAGAATTGTTAGTCGCACGATTTCTTAGGGCTGGCGGGGGTAGCTTTGAAAGGTGATGATAGTTGTTTCGGGCCGGTTTACAATAAATTTGCATATTACTATCTTTCTAGTCTTTTGTTTTCTCTGGTTTGATTCTGAATCACCTTCATTCACATTTTGAGTTCAACTTGTTAGTGATTTGATTATACATACAAATGAACAGGTTTCTTCTTCAGTTCCAATAATTTAGCAAGTTTTGCTTTGTTTATCGTTTCTTTATATGAGGTTATTTATAAACAACATTTCTTCTTGTTTCGTTTTATTTTCCTAACGTCAGTGTTTTCTAATCCTAAAAACACTGAACAAATGGGAAAATAACGTTGACTAATTGAGCGCCTTGATTTTATTATTACTAAAAGTAAATATACACATACACGTAAACATTATATTATATTATTTATTTATTGATATATTATCTTTTTGAGAAACCAACATTTACACTTGTTGACAGATTTACTTTTTTGTGTGTGTTTTATCACGCTTCTATTTCGCTTTGGTTTACATTGTTTTTTTTGTTTTTTCTTGTGTGTATGTGGTTGTTTCAATTATTCAATGCACATTTTGATGTGCAAGCGTGTGTATTCCCTCCTTATTTGAGAACAAAGGAATGGAACAAGTTGTTACAGATCCTACTATACTTGAGTTAGAGGGTCAGTACTATCATCTTGTACATTAATTATTCAATAATGATAATAAATAATAATAATAATAATAATTAAACCATTTTTCCCGCTTTCTAATTTTGAAGCACAGTAGAATATGAATTTAGTGTTGTTTTCTCTTCAAATGAATAATCTTCTTATTCTTTAGTAAAAATTGTCATCTTGTAACATGGATGCTAATCTTAATAGTAAATGCAGACATCTACATTTTGATATTGGAGGTAGTAGCTAGAAATCTTCAGTAATCGGCTGTCTGATGAAATCAGCTGCTTCTTTGAAACTAATAGATAAGCAATAGGAAATGGTGACAAGAAGAAGCTTCCTGGACGTAAACTGAGTAGAAGTCCCCGTAACGACCGCGACTAGTGGCGAGTGATGGAATCAAACGAAGTGGGAATGATATGAGCACTGGATTAAAACCCACCATTTTTTCAAACTTATTAGTGAGATAGGTCGTAGGAAATCTATGTTAGGTGAAACTATTTCTCAAACAAATCAAGCTTTGAAATCTGTAGGGAGAAGGTTGAACGGAACCTTCAAAGAAGCTGTTCAACTGGCCATATGATATACAGTATTTAACCACCATGTCAACCAAGCCTGATGAAAGCACAGATATCGGTTTGAAAGCTGTCTCTAACTTGAAGCGAGGCAAAGTAGCAGAGCCTGGTAGTTTGACTCCACAGGCGTATAAAGATGGTGGTAATCAGGTGACAACTGGTTAACTAGGATGCGAGTTAGTGTTTAGGATCTTGATGTAACTTTCGGAGACGGGTTGAGATCACTGATCATCTCAGTGTACAGGAAATCCAATGAATTTTTATACAAGCGACTACAACGATATAAACGTGAGTTGAAAAAAGAAAATGAAGCCTGTAACAAAGTAATTAAGTAGTTCTAAACATGGGAACTGAAATTGAAACGTAAATTTAGAGGGGAACTGAAAAATTGCTTTCAGTTTCCTTCTGCTCCGTCACTGTGCCTACAGATGGGGCAAGTGAACCTTTTTTTTCGAAGGCTTCTCTGAACTTTGCATGAATATTTCGGAACTGTGTCCACTGTTAACTTATTCAGGCGTCATAAGAGTTTACGATCTGTCTACCTATTTTTTGGAGGTGAATTGTTATGAGCCAATAGTCTGGAGAAATGTTTGTTCTTCTGACTCCTTAACATACAGTTCACCGAGTTCACCACATAAATAATTTTTATAGGTATGCACTGAATGCCGTTCTCGAAAGTTGTATTCTGTTTTCTGAAGTACCTTGAATATGATTATGTAAGATAGTTAATTAAAGCGAAGGGATCGAAATTATTTTTCTGTTAATAGGATTAATGCATCTCCTAAATGTCTCATCATTCATCGATTTAGTATTAACAGTAAGCGATTAAGTCTATGAAGGAGGTTCATTTTCACTATAAATATGAACGCCATATTTTTTGGAAGTAAGCCTTCTTCTACCATCAATATATTTGAAGAATTAAAGCCATTTCAGAACTAGGTCTAGTAAAGGCGTTTCTCTTTCGAATGAGAAATAACTACTAAGAGTAAGCTTGATAAAGATGCGAATACAGCTACTTCTGTAACAACAGAAGACAAGGGCCAGGCAACAGATCAGTTTTATTACGAAAACCAACAGGTATTTATATGTATTTTACGTACATTAATAGGCTTCTGCCCGCAGAAAGAAGGCGGTCTTCTGATTGGTTGTTTGCAAACAAAGGCAGTCTTCTTCTGCTTTCTCGTTTTCGATATTTCTCGGAAATGCGAGCCACTTGTCTGCGAATCATATTTGTCCACGTCTAGGTCAGCTGTGATCGGTTGTTGAATCAGCCTAGATTAATTTCTACCAATCAGCGTAGATCAATGTCTACCAATCGGCTAGCAGCTTGCTCTCACCACACTTCTTTTGGTGGTAAAAAGTATTATTGAACCTCAGATACACATCAAATGTTTATGTCGAGGGAAATTATTTGAAGCCCTTTGTCAGTATTGCGTAATTAACTATATTCGACTTAACATGGTTACATTTAAAAGAAGTAAAGGGACTCTGTTCAAAAGGTCCGCATTACCTAAGTAACTAGTAAATCCAAATGCGTCAAGGAAATTGATAAACCTGCCGTCAGATCGGTCTTTACAGTTGAATTAATAATTAATCATTTATCAATCAAATAGCTAGATAGGACAGGCATGTTCAAGACTGGGCATAGTAACAAGTAGGACTTACAGGTTTCATGTATTCCTTATCAGGATCTTAGGTGCATTCTGCTGAAGGTTTTCATCGTTCTGTGGTTTTCTATGGTTCTCTAGCAGATGTGAGCGTGTCATGAAGTTGCATATCCTGGTTACACAGTTGATAACTTGAGGCTGAATTGTTTACGAATCTGTTATGAATCATTAAAACTTCCAACTCAGCTCATGTGGTTGTGAAGTGTCCTAATATCCCGAATAAGAAAGTACATAAGTAAAACTAAGAGACAAGTAAAATGACCACAGTTAACAAAGAAAGTCATGTCGATAAATCCCACAATTAAATATAAACGGAAAAGAGAAGGCTCCAAAACAATGAAAGAATTAGGAACTGGATTATCAAGAGGAAAGTAATATAAATAAAGTAAGCTGAACACATATTCACCTTAGAATATTTAACAGTCTTATGGTCTTTAGGAATTCGGTGATCGTTTCATGATTATCGTAGAAAGTAATTACCCTACTTGATTTCTTATTGCCTAACTTTATTATATTCCACAAAATGTATTAAAAATCTCTCCTGATATGAAATATTTAAGCGATTCCGATGGCATGAAATAGCATTATATTTCGACAAAACAATGAGATCTAATTGATCTGGTTCGCGCAGTGTATTTGTAGAACATATTCCGGACAATGTGATTACACACATATTTGTCATATGAACTTGTATGGAAAATAATAAACCTTTAGGAGGTGAGAGAATGAATATAGGTCAAATGAAAAGGCTACATTGAAGGTTAGAATAACAATGAAGGTCAATCAAACGAGAAAGTGTGGTAATAGTAAATTAACTTTTGTTTCGAAACAAAATTTATCAGCAAAAAGACTTGATGTGGTGACACATTGTTTGTTAAAACACATAAAGGTGTCTCAAACTTCTTAGTCACTATGATGGACTCTATGAACTTAAGGATACGATCCCAACATGTTTGATACATGGGTTTGAAAGGCATATATGTGTGCCGTGTGTTACTGATAAAATCTGACAGTAGTATATAAAGGGACCTTCATTGGCATAAAAATATCAAATAGCTGGGAAATAGATTTGACGTCAAAGAGAGCGAATGATTCACCGTCGTGGCAAAACAAGGAAGACAGGAAAAGGAAGACAAAGAAACAGTACGAAGGCCAGAAATAGGACAACAAGGGAGATCTGTGCAAATAATGATTTGGAGATAGGGTGTATATAATTACCAAATTACCAATAAACATTCCTTTACCAAGTCTCTTGTCTCCTACCGTTACATATGTATCTCTTTAGTCCTGCTTTATTCTATCATGAATGGGCAAGATGGGTGTCTGTTTACACCACCAATAGATTGTGTTGACACAATTTGCTTTTGAAGCCGCTTGTGTATATATTAATAAGTCCTCTCTGCATATGTGGTAGGGATAAAAATGGTATAAACGTTTTCCTTATTAGTCTGTATAGACATGTTATCAATATTTCTAATACTACGCTATTTCCTTATGAGAAAGAAGTTTTATTACATGGGTCAAATTATGTATTCATTTAATTTAGAAGTCTTACTAGCTAAGGAGTAACAGATTAGCTAAACTGTAATCAAAGAAGCATTGGCAAGCAATTGAAACTGAGATCAATACATTTTCAGTTTATATTTCTGGAGTTAGCTGGCTTAAATCTTTAAGAATGGACATTTTACTTCATTAAAATGACTCATCTTCAGACTTTTTGTACTCATGTCATATAATTACTAGTGAATACTTTTCTCTTTAACGATTAAGATTGTTGGTAAACTTCTAAACTGAGAATAAGACTGCACAAGACTCTCAAGGTGACAGGGGCTTGCAGTCGCTGAATAACAAGGAAATTATAAGCTATAAAACCAAGTCCTCTAGCATAGTCATCAGTTGGTATTCTTCCGTGTTGTCCGTGGGGATATTGAGCCACGAAATAGTCAGGCATCATTTATTATCTATTATCGTTCTTAGACTGTGTCCTAATGGGAAATCCATCACTTGCTGAGATGAATGCACATCCAGCTGATAGGTCTGAAAGGGAAGAAACGTACCTCCTGTACTGTCAGATCATATCAAGCATCTGTTTTAGGAGTCAATATTCTATCAGAGATCGATCATATCTATCCCCTACAAGCAAACCTCATTTTTAAATTACTTTTATCATAATTATCCATTATTAAGTCAGTCTTTATGAATTTGTGTAATACGGAATGAAAACTAATGAACTGGGTATCTGTTACTGTAGATTTCCTAAAATTTTTGCTATTTTTAGGCAGTGGAAAATATATTAATTTTAATTAATTTTCTAGTGAATACAGCATGTTTGAATACATTCCTATCTGTGACAATTGTTTTCT